AAATAAATAAAATCTTTAAAAAAAAAAAAAAAGATTCTCTCTCTCTGCCCTTCCCTTCCCCCACAAAAAATTTAGCTAACAATAGGAATTCCTTTAAAAAAAAAGATGTTTGCCCCAAAAAGGCAGAGGGAGGGGTGCGCAGCACATGGCTGGCTCAGTGGGTGGAGCATGCCATTTTTGAGCCCTGCATTGGGTGTAGAGATTACTTAAAATAAAATCTTTAAAAAAAAAATGTTTGCCAAGTCTTTAATGGCATGGAATATTACTTGAGAGAAGCAGAGAAGAAATGGGATAATGAAGTATACACAGTCATTATACTTAAAAATAGCATAGAAAGAATGGAAAAACCATTCCTTTGGTAGGATAGTGGTTATTTTTATTGCCTTTAGATAAGTACATTATAGCTTATCATGAGCATTTATTTTTATAATCATACAAAAGGTAAATAGCAAGTAAAGGAAAAATAAAATTAATTCTTATTAATTCTTGATATTTGCAAACTAACATTATGCCTTGTTCACCATCTATGAAGAGAGACAGTTCATTTTCTGAGTATATTTATTTTAGAGAAAATGCTATAATGTTCTTTGACAAATGCATGGGAAGTTAACTGAAACTGAACTGCAAGATCACACCTTATTTTTAGTATGTAAAATATTCATCTGAACTTTTGGTGTCGTTAGATACTAAACGGGACAAAAATCTTACAAAAAAAGAAAACAACTGACCAGTATTATACCATTCATGAACGCATATGCAAAATCCTTAACAAATTATAAGCAGATTAAATCCAGCAATTTATAAAAAGGTTAATTAATACGACCCAAGTAGGGTTTATCCCAGAGTGCAGAATTGGGAAAATCAGTCAGTATGATACACCACATCAATAAAAAAAACATAATGGGTTCTGAAAATGCATCTGACAAAATTCCAGCATTCATTCATGATAATAGCTCACAGCAAGCTAGGAAGGGAGCTTCATTAAGCTGATAAAAGGTTAAAAGGTATCTGAGCATAATAATTAATGGTGGAAAACAATGCTTTCCCCCTGAGATCAGGAACCAAGGCCAGATGTTTAGTCTCAACCACTTACATTCATGTTTGTAAAAGAGTGCCTTGTCAGTGCAGTAAGGCAGACAAAGAAAGAAAAGGCATACAGATTGGAAAGGAAGAAATGAAACTGTCTTTACTGGCAGACAACATGATCATCTATGTAGAAAGCCCAAAAAATCCACCAAAAAGCTACTAGAACTACTCTGGATACAGGGTTACTATACAAAGGGTCATTGTATTTCTATAAACTTAGCAATGAATAATTTGAAAATTGAAATTTTAAAATGCCACATAATAGCATCAAAAAACCCCAGGATACTTAAGGATAAATCTAACAAAATACGTGCAAAATTAGAAATCACTTCTATGTAGAAGTACTTGAATATATGGTAAGAAAAAATCTGTTTATATTGAGAAGGGTATATACATTTTCTGGAAAAGAAATGTGTTTTAGAAGATAGTTTATTTTTCTTAGGTGAGTTTTTTGTGTAGTTGGGATCACATGTAATTTTGTGTTCTCTTTTATTTAACATTATTTTATTATGTAACAAGTTCCTTATAATTGCAGGTCTTAACATCTACTTAGCCATTCCACTAATGTTGTTTCCCCTAATTGTTTCCAAGTTTTTGAAATGCATTTTCTATTCTTTAAATTGGTTGGTATATAACCTACTGCAGGTAAATTTGAACCTACAATAGGAAGAATGGAATCAATCATTTGATTTTAGAGCATATATAATTGGTGTCGGGTAAAGATTGAACTTCAGACTAGCATTTGACCACCAGAGTGAAAGTTTAGAATGTTCTTGAGGTCTGTTTCTAATATTTATTCTTTTTTTAATAAAGATTTTATTTACCTGTTTATTTATTTGCAAGAGAGAGAGAGAATGAGAGAGAGCGCGATTGAGGGGAGGAGCAGAGGGAGAGAGACAAGCTGACTCCGCACTGAACGCGGAGCCCAGTGTGGGGCTCGATTCCACGACCCCGATATCATGACCTGAGCTGAAATCAAGAATTGGATGCTTAACCAACTGAGCCACCCAGGCACCCCTAATATTTATTCTTGATAGCTTATTATGTCTATTATCTTAGAAGAATTATCTTTAAAAAATGTCAGTGACTTCCCATTTTTGCATCAAAATGATATATGCTTTTGTTAATCTACTGTTCATGGACAGTAACATCTTGTGAAGTCTTTCCTTGCCTCTTAGGTGTCTGAGCTCTGCTTGTCTATTAGATTAAGCATTCTTTATTGTCCCCTAATATTCTACATATAGATGCCTATCATAACTGCCCCCAAAACTTTTGTCTTTAAATTTACTTGTTTACATGTCTGTTGTCTCCTGTCAGACTGGGAAGAGACTTTGTCTTTTGGCTTTATATACCTACTCACTAGCATAATTAGGTATATGGTAGATAATGTGGTACTAGAAGTCTGTTTTAATAATTATAACTTCAATTTTCTCTGTAGAGAAAAGACCAATTTATACTTGAAGATGTGCTGTTTCTAAGACAACTCTCTTTGTCATTTGCTCATACTAGTCTGCTGAGTGCTAATGTGAAATGAGAAGGGATGGGGTGATGTTAACTTAAGTTTCTGATCATTTGACAGGTGTGGGATTATGAGACTGGAGATTTTGAGCGAACTCTTAAGGGACATACAGACTCTGTACAGGATATTTCATTTGACCACAGTGGCAAGCTTCTGGCTTCCTGTTCTGCAGATATGACCATTAAACTATGGGATTTTCAGGGCTTTGAATGCATCAGAACCATGCACGGTAAGGGGTAGAAGATAGTATTTTGATATTGATTTGTAACATCACATTCCAGAGAAAAGAATATTGTTTTCTAATAGTGTGCAGTCCCCTACATTTAATCCTTAATTGTATCAGTGGAAGAGCATATGATGTAAATAGCCCATGTGATAAGCCACAGTAGTTGAGAATTGTTTCAGTTACGAGGTTTTAAGTATCTCCTAGTACTGGTTTATATAAAATACTTAATTCGTTTTCAGGAATATTTTTGGGTAAGAAAAACTGCTGGGATATCGGTCTTCAAGAAAGAAAGAAAATGGGGATTTGTTTTGTTTTATTTTTCAATTTTCTCACTTGAGAAACTGACGTCCAAAACAAATAGGTATAGTAAAAGCTGGAACCTAGCATTTCTTGCTCATTTTATAATGTTCCACATATACTGTAGTCTCAGTGTTAGGTTGTTTTCCTGGGTCTTGTCGTAGAGACTATTCTCTGAGTCGGTTTGGCCTTGTGGAAAGAACATGGGCTTTGGAATCAGATATCTGGGTTCAAATTCCTACTTGTTTACTTGTGGCATTGGGAAATTTCAACCTCTTTTCATCTGCAAGATAGAGGTAATAATACCTGTCATAGGATTGTTGTGAGGATAAAATGAAATCGTATACATGAATCATCTTGTTTTAGTACGTGGCACATAGAAGATGCTCACTAAGGATTTTTGTTGTTTCTTTGAACATGGTAAAATTTGAATGTTCGGATTTTACATAAGGAACACATGCTATGTTGGTAATAAAAGAGGTTTTTTATCTTATTTATTTATTTGACAGAGAGAGACACAGCGAGAGAGGGAACACAAGCAGGGGGAGTGGGAGAGAGAGAAGCAGGCTTCCTGCTGACCAGGGAGCCCGATGCGGGGCTCGATCCCAGGACCCTGGGATCATGACCTGAGCCGAAGGCAGATGCTTAACGACTGAGCCACCCAGGCGCCCCTAAAAGGGGTTTTTTAAATAGATAATCCAGTGATGTAAGCTATGTGATTACATAGAAAGTATAATTTGAAGGGTGTTTTTCCCCCAAGTGGGAAACTTACCAGTTAAAGGAATTCTTCCGTAAAAGAATTGAATCCTTTCGTAAAATCTGGTGTTTATGTTTCTTTGAGTAGCCTGTATCTTGTTGTTGTGACTTTAATGAAGAAGGGGAGTGGGAGATAAGGCTTCCAGTTATGGAATGAGTAAGTCAAGGGACTAAAAGGCACAGCATGAGGAATAGAGTTAACAGTATTGTACTGGCCTGTGGTGGCAGATGGCAGCTACACTTGCGGTGAACATAGCATAGTGTATAAACTTGTTGAATCACTATGTTGTACAACTGAAACTAATGTAACGTGTCAACTATACTTAAATTTAAAAAACTTTTTAAGGAGTTCTTTCCAACCATTGTATATTCCTTAAATAATGATATTTATGAGGATTCTCTAGGGCATTTTCCACACAGAATAGCTAATTAGGAATGTGAATAATGCATATAGAATAATGCATTTTTACCCCCAAGGACATTTAATTTTCAACCATTATTTTAAATATGGAACCAAATCTCCATTTTTCTTCTTCTTTCTGTTTAGCTTTGTAAATCTTATTTCCAATCTATACTATATCTTAGGATATCAAACATGGAAATTTTTGTGTTTCTAGTGTTCATATATAAACATTCAGCATATTAATATATTCAAATGCTGATGATACTGATGCCTTGTGATGTTAAAACAGTTGTACAGGTTGAAATTTAATCATAAATTGAGCTAGCTACTTAATTCATTATGGATTGTTTTATTAAGTTGCTAATTCCTTAACTTGTGTGTGTAAATCCAAGTTTCTTACCAAATTTATATAAAGCCCAGTGTATTTAAAGTTGCTGTGATATTTGAAATCCCATGTTGAAATCTCATGGTAAACTGAGGTTTAATTGCTCTTGGTGATATAGCACTTAATACGTTGCTGTGTTATGTGTTTTAGGCCATGACCACAATGTTTCTTCAGTAGCCATCATGCCCAATGGAGATCATATAGTGTCTGCCTCCAGGGATAAAACTATAAAAATGTGGGAAGTGCAAACTGGGTGAGTAGGTTTGATTGAAAAGGTGTCAGCTAATGAGATATTAAACAACAAAATGTGTTCTGAACCAATTATTTTGACTTTAAACCAGAATGATCATGGTGCTGGTTGTGTTATATACTTTAAAACAAGATTTTAGTCTCTAAATGTTTCCCAAAAAGGAACAGGAAAATTATAAAAGAAACTTCCCTGTCCTTGAGAGCCATTTCCTATGCAATGGCTTATTTTGTTTTTTTAAGATTTTATTTATTTATTTGAGAGAGTGCAGAGTGAGAGAGCGCGCATGCGCGAGAGCGCGTGGCGGGGGGGCAGGGGGAGAAGGAGATGCAGACTCCCCACTGAGCAGGGAGCCCTACAATGCAGGGCTCCATCCCAGGACGCTGGGATCATGACCTGAACCAAAGGCAGACGCTCAACCGGCTGAGCCACCCAGGCGCCCCCAGTTGCTTATTTCTCTGTGGTCTTTTTTAGGTGATTTCTCTGTGGGTTGAAATAAAACGTAAATAACATTTGTGCAGGTATTCCCTTATTAGACTGAGTTTGGTTGTGCTTAGAATGACACATGATTGTTACCGTAAAACCTTAACCTACTACTAGTTTTACCCAGATTAGTAGAGTGTGCCTTTTTCCCAACAAGGCTATAAATATTTTTGTTAGGTTTATTGTGTGTGTTTAGTTTTGGAAGATTTTATTCTCTCTATATTTTACCTTCTAGAATGTGTTGATTGGTTAGCTCCTTAATGATACTGCCATCAGCACATTTTGATTGATGTTTGATTTTCCAGCCTGTCCCCATCTTTTATTAACCGTGAATGTACATTTATTCTGTTGACTTGCATGTGATTACTCTAACTTGGTGCCAACCTCTTCAATCCAGTGCATAGCTAGTTTTATATTGCTTCTGGGAAGTAGCCCAATTTGCCATTCACAGTGTAAATTATTACTTATTTTGACAGCTACTGTGTGAAGACATTCACAGGACACAGAGAATGGGTACGTATGGTGCGGCCAAATCAGGACGGCACTCTGATAGCCAGCTGTTCCAATGATCAGACTGTGCGCGTATGGGTCGTAGCAACAAAGGAATGCAAGGCTGAGCTTCGAGAACATGAGCATGTGGTAGAATGTATTTCCTGGGCTCCAGAAAGCTCATATTCTTCCATCTCTGAAGCAACAGGATCTGAGGTATGTGATTTATATGTCATTTCATGATTTTATTGATGATATCAGAACCTTAGGTAACTTTTCTGATTCTCAGTTTCAGGGCAGTTTTAACACATTGACAAATCTGTATCCCAAAATTCTGAATCTTGAAACTTTTTACTCTTTTGAACTTGTGGAAGTATTTATATTTTTTAACCAGTGATTATTGTTGTCAGCTGACCCTTGACTTGTGGTGGGGATGGTAGGTTCTCCTGAAGAGTAAAAGTGGTCATTAAATTTATCAGAAATGTCATTGTTAGTATACCTATGCAAAGTAAAACTTAATGGGAGAAGTTAAAGTTATCTTTTAGAAGAATTGCCTTTAATGAATGTAATTATTTTATTTATAAATTTATGGTGGAATACAATTCAGTCCTTAAATATTTATTTTAAAGAATATTTCATATGGAGTCCTCTTGATACTCTTGATCACTAGAAGCACTGAGTCTGGAGTTTTATTTATTTGGTTGTTTGTTTTAAGTTTTTATTTTAATCACCTGGTGCTCATCGCAGGTGCACTCCTTAATGCCCATCACCTATTTCACCCATCCTCCCACCCTCCTCCCCTCTGGTCACCATCAGTTTGTTCTCTGTGGTTAAGAGTCTGTTTTCTTGGTTTGTCTCTTTCTCATTTTTTCCCCCTTTGCTCGTTTGTTTTGTTTCTTAAATTCCACATGGGAGTGAAATCATATGGTATTTGTCTTTCTCTGACTTACTTCATTATAGTGTTCTGACTTATATTCTGATTATTTCATTATACTCTCTAGCTCCATCCATGTCATTGCAAATGGCAAGATTTCATTCTTTTTTTTCCCCCATTTTTTAGGGATGAATAATACTCTATTTTGTGTGTGTGTGTGTGTGTGTGTATCACATCTTTAGCCATTCATCAGTTGATGGACACTTCGGTTGCTTCCATGTCTTGGCTATTGTAAATAATGCTGCTATAAATATAAGGGTGCATGCATCCTTTTGAATTAGTGGGTTTTTTAAATTCTTTGGGTAAATACCCAGTAGTACAATTACTGGATCATAGGGTTTTATTTGTTTGTTTGTTTGTTTGGAGATTTTATTTATTTATTTGACAGAGAGAGATACAGCGAGAGAGGGAACACAAGCAGGGGGGGAGTGGGAGGGGGAGAAGCAGGCTATTTGGGGTCTTTTGTGGTTCCATACCAATTTTAGGATTGTTTGTTCTAGTTCTGTGAAAAATGCTGTTGGGTATTTTGATAGGGATTCCATTAAATGTGTAGATTGCCTTGGGTAGTATAGACATTTTACCAGTATTTGTTCTTCCAGTCTATGAGCATGGAACGTCTTTCCATTTTTTGTGTTGTCTTCAGTTTCTTCCATCAGTGTTTTATAGTTTTCAGAGTACAGATCTTCCACTTCTTTGATTAGGTTTATTCTTAGGTATCTTATTATTTTTGGTGCCTTTATAAATGGGATTGTTTTCTTAATTTCTCTTTCTTGCTTCATTATTGAATGGAACAGATTTCTGTACATTGATTTTGTACAGAAATACAGATTTTGTACATTTGCGACTTTACTGATTTGCTTATCAGTTCTAGCAATTTTTTGATGGAGTCTTCATGGTTATATTATATATTATATTTCTTCATGGTTCTTAATTTGCACTTTTCATGATTTCAGTCTTTATGATTAATAACTTAAAAACAAGTTACAGAATATTATTTCTTTGAATAAATTGCATGAGCCAAAATTGACCACATGTCTTTTATATAGATAGTCCTATTGGGGATTTTTGCTTTTGTTAGTTAACATACAGTGCAATAGTGGTTTCTAGAGTATAATTCAGTGATTCATCACTTACATACAACACCCAGTGCTCGTCACAAGTGCCCTCCTTAATACCCATCACCCATCTAGCCCATCCCCCACCCACCTCCCTTCATCAGTCCTGTTTGTTCTCTGTCACATCAATCCTGTTTGTTCTCTATCATTGAGTCACTTATGGCTTGTTTCCCTCTATTGTGGATATTTTTAAATTACATTTTAATAAATGAAGGAGGAGAATCTTCCCCCAAAGCCCCCATCTCCGCCCCATCTTCCCCCTCCCCCCCCAAAAAACAACTGTTTTTCCAAAATGAGGTTTCTGTAGTAACTTCTTTAGATTTTGGCTAACTGGTTGCCTTTTCAAATTCTTTTTACTGCCCTCTGGTGGTGGTTACTTACCATGTCATAAATTTGATTCTGTCTGGATTTTATATAGACCTAATTACATAGTTTTAAATTTTTCTTGATTACAGAAGTCTTGAACAGTAAATTTATCATCCCATTATTATAGAAACTGAATCTTAATCTTAGTAGAGATACTCTGTTTTTATGTTATCTGGGTCCTTCCTCTGTAACAGCCTGCATATGTCAAAAGACCTATGTATTTCAATAGAGAAAAATCTAAAGAATAAGTCCTAGAGATCTAATTGTACAGCATCGTGACTACAGTTAACAGTACTGTGTCATATACTTGAAATTTGCTAAGAGGGTAGACCTTAAGTATTCTTATCAGCTTAAAAAAAAAAAATGTATTCTCACTACCTAAAGGGGGGGGGTGGGAATGTTTATACCAGGTGATGGCTATATTAATTAACCTGGTTATGATGATCATTTTACAATATATATGTATCTCAGAACATCAGATTGTGTAATAAACATGTACAATATTTGTCCCCCCAAATTGCATTTTTATAAAAATTGGAAATATAGATCATTGCTAGAAGTCATTTAAAGTCCTCACCTAACTTCTTACATGGGAAACTTAATATTTGTATGTTTTTTATAGACTAAAAAAAGTGGCAAGCCTGGGCCATTCTTACTGTCTGGATCCAGAGACAAGACTATTAAGATGTGGGACGTCAGTACTGGCATGTGCCTTATGACCCTAGTAAGTTTGCATAATCTTACTGCTTCTTTTGTGTCTTAACTAGGTTTATACCTTTTTGGGTTAGATGCCTTGTGATATCTTATTAAATAATCTGAATTATTGCAGGCTTTAAAAGAACTTCTTGTAAAGACATTTTTTCTTAAACTTTTGTAATTCCATTGTTACAGTGATAGGAAAATTATTGCTGTAGAATGTCATGTTTATATAAAGGATCTACAAAGCCAGTTAATGCCAGGAGGGAGATCCTAGCTTACTGTATCTTTAAAAATTATATATCTCCTATGCGAGATAAACAGTATTATTATAGACTCATTTTTTTTTAAGAGAGAGAGAGCGTGCACAAGTTGGGGGAGGGGCAGTTGGGGGAGGGAGAAGTAGACTCCCTGCTGAGCAGGAAGCCTGGCATGGGGCTCGATCCCTGGACCCCAAGATCATGATCTGAGCCGAAGGCAGGCACTTAACCATCTGAGCCACCCAGGTGCCCCTAGTCTCATTCATTTTTTAAACTGTTTCTGTATTTCACTGTATTTAATTTTAATATGAATCCTTTTAAGTATTATCTATTTGTTCACATGGTTCACTTTATTTGGTTTATTTTACCATTCTGATGTTAATGTTGTTACCTAGCTTTATGACTTAGAAATGTTATTTCAGGGGTACCTGGGTGGCTCAGTTATTAAGCATCTGCCTTCAGCTCAGGTCATGATCCTAGGACAAGTGCCACAGCGGGTTCCCTGCTCAGTGGGGAATCTGCTTCTCCCTCTCACTCTACCCCTTCACCTTGCTCATGCTCTCTCTCTCACAAATAAATAAAATCTTTAAAATATATATATATATAAATGATAGTACAGCATTGTGGACATTCTTATTTGCCTAAGGAAGTTCTGAGGGAATCTGTGGGCATTAATTCAGTACAAGTTTTTTGTAATTTGGCATCCATGTTTGTTTTAGAGATTTCTTTAGGTACTAACCATACCTTGAAGTGATTGTCTCTCTGTAGGATATGGTAGACACTTTGGAAGTATCATCAAGAATTGGCACTTCGGTGGCTTAGTTGGTTAAGTGTCTGACTCTTGATTTCAACCTAGGTCTTGACCTCAGGGTCGTGAGTTCAAGCCCCACACTGGGCTCCATGCTAGGCATGGAGCCTACTTTAAAAAAACAAAAAGAAATTGGTTAGAAAATTAAACTTTTCTCTAGTAGTATTCTGAGCTCAGATATGCTATATCGCTATTTAAAAAGATGATCTACACTTAAAATCATAAAGTGTGTTTGGGGCACCTGGCTGGCTTAGTCAGTGGTGTGTGGAGGCTCTTGATCTCAGGGTTGTGAGTTTGGGCCCCATGTTGGGTATAGAGAGTCCTCAAAAATAAAATCTTTTAGAGCGCCTGGGTGGCTCAGTTGGTTAAGCAACTGCCTTCGGCTCATGATCCCGGAGTCCTGGGATCGAGCCCCGCATTGGGCTCCCGGCTCAGCAGGGTGCCTGCTTCTCCCTCTTACCCTCTCCCCTCTCATGCTGTTTCTCTCTCGCTCGCTCTCCAATAAATAAAATCTTAAAGAAAAAAAAGAAAAAGAAAAAAAATATATTTTAAAAAAGAAAAAAAAGCATGTGCTCTGCTCTCCTGTAATAACACAGGTCACCTTAATTTCCCCGGAGGTTTCTGGCTCCTATTTTTTCAGCTGAAGGAGGGTACTTTTTACTGCTTTATTTTGATGTAGTCACGGAAATGTGATTTAACTTTTGTTGAAGCTTCTACGTCTAGTGATTGGTGACTTTTATAGGTCACTATAATAGAACAGTTGTTTTTTTTTTAATTCTTAAGATTTTATTTGAGAGAGAGCGCACACACAAGCCAGGGGTGGGAGGACAGAAGGGAGAAGGAGAAGCAGATTCCCCACTGAGCAGAGAGCCCGATGCAGGGCTTGATCCCAGGACCCTGAGATCATGACCTGAGTCGAAGGCAGACGCTTAACCAATTGAGCCACCCAGGTGCCCCTAGAACAAAGTATTTTAAATAAGGGTCAAGGCAAAGGATATGTCACCTTGGTCATCTTTTTTTTTTTTTTTTTAATTAACTCCCTTTTTTTAGTTCTTTTACAAAAGCAGTATGGTTATTTACACTGTAGAAAAATTAGAAGTATACAGAAAAGCTAAAAGAAGAAAATAAAAATCACCCTCATAAAACTCATAATAATACCTTCCAAGTATATTTTCTAGTCTAGGGCTGCCCAGTAGAACTTTCTGTGATGATGTTCTATATCTATACTATCCAGTGTTGTGGCTACTGAGACTGAAGGACTGAATTGCTGATAGTATTAATGTTTGTTAGTTTTTTTTTTTTTTTTAAGATTTTTGTTTATTTATTTGACAGAGAAAGAGAGAGCACAAGTAGGCAGAGCTGTAGGCAGAGGGAGAAGCAGGCTCCCCATTGAGCAGGGAGCCCAGTGTGGGGCTCAATCCCAGGACCCTGGGATCATGACTTGAGCCGAAGGCAGACGCTTAACCGCCTGAGCCACGCAGACGCCCCAATGTTAGTTAGTTTATATTTAAAAAGCTACATGTGAAGGGCACCTAGGTGGCTCAGGCGGTTAAGCGTCTGCCTTCGGCTCGGGTTGTGATCCCATGGTCCTGGGATCGAGCCCCGCATCAGGCTCCCTGCTCATTGGGAAGTCTGATTCTCCCTCTGCCCCTCACTCTGCTCTCATGCTCCCTCTCTCAAATAAATAAAATCTTAAAAAAAAAAAAAATCTACATGTGACTAAATGGCTACCCTGTTGGACTGTGCAGTTCTCAGCCATTTTCATTAATTTCTATGTAGATGAATATGATGGGGATTTTTATATATAAATGATAATCATTGTACATATTGCTTTGTAGCAAACCTTTAATTTAGGAGGTATGTGACACTGCTCATGTTGTTAGATATTTTATTACTGATTACATACAGTGCTTTGATGAACATCTTTGTTCAATAAATCTCTGGGCCTTTCTTAATTTTATTTCTCAGGGTAAATAGCAAGAACTGGAACTGCTGGGTTAGGGGATGTAGATAGATGAATGTATGGATGGATATGCAGTAAATACCTGTGTATCCTTCACCTAGAATCACCAGTTGCCAACATTTTCCTGTGTGTGTGTGTGTGTGTGTGTACATTTTGCTGAACAATTTGAGAGTTAGTTGTAGATACCATGACAATTGTATCTCCTAAAAATAAAGGTATTCTGTATAACCACAATAAAACGATAATACTCAAGAAACTTATCATTGGGGTGCCTGGCTGGCTCAGTTGGTAGAGCATGTGCCTCTTGATATCAGGGTCATGAGTTCAAGCCCCACATTGGGTGTAGAGATTACTTTAAGAAAATGATTTTAAAAAAAAGAAAAGAAATTTGACATTAATACTACATACTCAATTTCTCCAATTATCCCAGTGGCTCTTTTTTGACATTGACATTTTTTATTGCACTTTGAGTAATGACTTACTATTTTTCTAGGTGCTGTTTATGTACTTTATCCCTTTATTAAGTCAAATACCTTTTTGTTTTTAAGGTGGGTCATGATAACTGGGTACGTGGAGTTCTGTTCCATTCTGGGGGGAAGTTTATTTTGAGTTGTGCTGATGACAAGACCCTACGTGTGTGGGATTACAAGAACAAGCGATGCATGAAGACCCTCAATGCGCATGAACACTTTGTTACCTCCTTGGGTATGTATGAGTAATGAGCTTTCTAAGCAATTAGGTTTTGGAGTGCCAGGCATAAACAGTTTTATGTAATCGTGTGGAATTTTCCAGGTAAGAAATGACTGTGTGCTTTCAGGACAGACTAGAGAAGACAGTTTAAAAACTTTGTGGATTCCTATCATTTGTTTTAAATTCTCCTTTCCTTAACTCTCTCTCTCCATCATCAGCCTTATAATAAAAAAATTACTTTCTCCATGCACAACATTGGTTTTGGAAACTAGGATTGTGAAGAGGATGCTTACTAACCACTCTGATGGGTAATTTTCCTCCCCTACTAGTTTGTAAGTTTCTCAAAGTAAATTTTACTCAGCCTTTTTCTCCTCTGGCAGGTATATACTACCATGTACTGGGAACTCACAGAATCGTATTTAAGTTTAATAAATATCCTCAGTATTATCTGGACCTGAATCTAGAATTAAAGTAGTGAATACAGTAAAATATAATACACCTAGGGTTTGATGGATCTAATGATAAAAATAAAACTAATGCCCATCTCAAAGGATTGTTACAAAAATTAAATATGAATATAAAGCATTAGTACTAAGCCAGAAACATAGTAAGTTAAGTAAGTAGATACATTGAGCCTACCCTTGTTAGATTTGAGTGTTTATTCAGATTTAGTTGGGATGGGTGTTAATGGGGGAGGGATTTTTATTGAAATGTTAACATAGGACTTAATTATTACATCTCAGCTTCCCTAAACCAGGGTGTGCGGGTGTATATAGAAAAAAATGAGTATCCCTGGCACTTGGACTTGCTTATTTTGTGGCTTGTTAAAAATTTTATCTGGATTTAAAATAAGCCTTTTCTTTTTCTTTCAGATTTCCATAAGACGGCACCATATGTGGTTACTGGCAGTGTAGATCAAACAGTAAAGGTGTGGGAGTGCCGTTGATTGAGTCTCATTTGGCCCCTCCTCCCATTTTTCCTCTGGATGCACTCTGATGATACCATGGTTACCCCATTGAGCTCTGTTTAAATAAATATTGTCCTTTCATGTAAATTATTCTGGATGTAGATTGAGCTTATTAAATGTTACACACAAAGTATTCATGCATGGTGAATCCAAATTGTATACTGTAAATTTACATACGTTGTCTAGAAGTACATAGGGTTTAAAAACCTGGGCTGGCATTGGTCACACCAGGCCTAAGAAGGCAGAAGTTGAATAAATTGAACTTAGGGCACTAAACTGAATAGTTGACAGTGTCATTTTCTGTTGGATTATTAATTCCTGTTTTTCTTTCTGCTATCTGTTGGTGCCTGACTTGATGGCCTCATTTGGGGAAAAGTGGTGATTATTAGGGCTTTTTCTGAAATGTGTATCTATGTAACATCACTTAAGTGTGCTTAATAAATCTTCTTTAAGGATGTTAGATGATAAGGCTACAATTCAAAATCTTCTGAACCATCTATGTAATTAATGGGGATTACACATTGGAATTTTTGTCATGACACATTTGCCAAATCAATAGGATACATTTGTTTTGGCAGCCTATCAAGCAGAGGCTAGTGGTATATTTATGTAAGAAAATGACTGTAAATCTCAAATAAGAAAAATCTCAGCAGCTAATAGCAAATCATTTATTTCATTTGGGTTTTAATGCTTTGTAAACAGGTTAACAAAACACTGTAATACTCTAAGCTTCTATTTTTCACACTAGACACACTTCTAGTTGTATTCTCCATACTATTAGACTGTATAGTGATGTGACTTCCAAGTAGAATTTAATCTTCCCATTGAGTGTGTCATGGTACAAATCACTATTTGTTTTGATGTTTTTTAGGGATGTGCAATGTGCATTACATGATGACAGATATTGAAAAGGTTATGTTTGCCCATTTTAAAGAAGTGGGAGAAATACAGCAGTTTGTTTTTCAACATGAATCTGATACCGATTTGAACTGTATTTAACTTACACGTTAAAAAAAAAAAGACAGGGTTTAATGGAGCATGCATAAAAATGTACTGTGTTTTCACCTTTTGTTTATATATAAATGTTTATATGGGCCTATCTATAAGTGGATAAGTCTGTATATGTATATCACACACATAAAACCTCCATGTCTTTGGGTCCTGGGTTTTTGAAGAAGTGCTAAAACATACAAGTAGAATAAATTTTGCTGTGGAATACCATGCTTTAGAACAAGCCCTTTTTGATCCTAATGCTTCTGAAAACTAGGTCTGACTCTGTGGGAATTTTTCCCAGTGAAAAGGAAAATCACACACACACCCTCCCCCACCGTTTGGCTGTTCAGCATTTTACACAGCCTGATGTATATTGTGATCCAAAGTTACTACAAGTAGGTTTAAGAGAATTTTTATCTATGACTTTGGAAACAATATTTCATTGCAGATTATTAAATAAATAATTCTATTGCTTAGCTAACCAACAGCTTTTTTTTTAAGGTCATTTGAAAAGTTAACAAAGAAATAACAAAGACAGTTTAACAAAGAAACTTACACTGAATTGCATTTTATTCATTTGCATAATATGTGATTTTTTTTTAATGTCCCTTTTAGTATTTAATGGAAATTTGGTTCCTGAAAAAGACAAAGGGTTAGAGTTAGTGTCCTCTAGATACACGGAGACTAGGCCTTATGTTTACTAGAAGCAGCTTTATGTCTAACTTGTGTCTTTTTGTTTGTTTGCTTTGTTTTTAATAATTCCTGAGCGACGTCTCTGGAAGGAAAAGTGTTTTGAGAACTAATGGCTATTTTTGAAGACAAAAATTACAACTTAAGCTAATTCCTTAAATATAGTAGAATAACTTTCAGGACAATATTGCCTCACAACCCTGCTCACACTCAGAAGTCTTATTTTGTTTCCCTTTAGCTGTTCTGACTGGAGTTTTCTACAAAAGCTATGGAAGATACCTTTGTTCTCGTTTGCTGCTATTTCCTGTCCTATTTTAAGAAATATAAATACATAGAAATGGTGCATCTTAACATTTGTTTATACATGTATAAATGTCTTGTATTTTAATTCATTTTTAGCATGTAGCAACACGAATTGTTTAAGGGTAAGCCACAGCATCTAGAAATCACTCATAGATACGAACAGTAAAGGAAAAAATGGTACCGATGTAGGAGGAAACAAAGCTAACAAAGCTGCTGTCCGCTGGGTTTTCCCCCCCTGCAGGATACAGTGACTTCGTTGACAAAGGAGGAGAAACAATATTACTCTGTAAACAAAGTTGTCCTTACTTGGGAGACTGCCACAGCCTGCTGCTTGGATGAGCTACCAGACATCCTCCATTTAAGAAGCAGCAAACACTGAATCTCAGGGATGGTCCTCAACTGGATCCAAATGTAACGAGCCCTGTTTGAATAATGAAGGGGGTGGGGGAGAGCGATCCATCCACAATCCGGAGTCGGAGGTGCGTGGTTTCCCGCACTGTTGTTTGACACTGCCCTGTCGATGCCCTTTCTTCCTGTTGCCTCCGTTTTCTCTGTCTGCTGTCTGACCCTGTGCCTTGCCTGGGATAAGTACAATGATGAGGTTACTGGTTTGGATTGTAAGTGGAGGAATTTATGAATTGGTTTAGAGGTTCATTGCTGCTTTGTCACTTTCTCAATCAAATTGGCCACTTATTTAAGAAATAAAAAGCTGGTAGAATTGCATCCTCAGATGATTATTTGACTTTGTGTGTGTGAAAACAGACATTCCAGTGCCACCCTTAATAATGTGCCCAAGGAGTCCTAGCTGCACTCTTGAACGTGCAAGCCACGGAAACTGTGGTGTAGACATTGCTTGGAGAATAGTTGCTTTTTGACATGGCATCTTGCACTTTAGGAGACTAAGACCGTCCTGTTTTGTCTATGTGTGGTGTGACCAATGGTGTGCCCAGAGCACTGCTCTAAAAATCACTAGTGTTAGCAAGTCGTCCAGGCTGTGGAGCGCTCGCTGTAGTCTTTGGAAGCTTTGGCTCTAGATCACCAAGCCCAGTCTCCTTACTGTCAGTGCCCTGCTCTCCTGTTTGCCTCTTCCTGTTTCTGTGTGAACTTCCAGGTAAAATCACTCATTAAATAGTTTTCTTTTAAATTTATTTAAAGAAAAACTATTTAAAAGTAAAGGATATTTTGTTTTGTTGACAGTGGTGGCTTGATAATCCTTAAGCAACTGAAATTAAAATTGTTGAAGGAAAAGGCACTTAAAATGGTTACTCTTTCTGTCCAGCTGTATATAAGTCCAATGTGTTAATTAATCTAGATGATGCAAAGAAGAATCTCCTGGTAGAGAAGCGACATGTACAAAATCGATGAAAAAGGTTTTGGGTTTTTGTTTTTTGTTTTGTTTTCCGTAGGGTGGGGGGAGGGCAAGCTGGATTTACAAGTCACAACTGGACTGAACTGGCCTTTTTATCTTTCCACTATATCATGTAAGTAGCTGCTTTCTTGTCCTGCCTATCCTTCAGGCATCCGTAAAGCTCACTCTGAAGATGATAGAAACAAACACAAAATCTTCGGGTTAGATGTTGATCCTGACACTGACATGAAGGCAAGCATTGATTTCATATGAATGTTGCAGAGGTGGTGGTGATTGGAGAAAACAGTAAGAGTTAACAAGTTATTGACACAATTTTAAAAAAAAATCAGTAAAGGAATGTATATACTATTGCTCTTGTGTTTTACAGTAAGATTTGTTGCTCTCAGACTGTGTAAAACAAAATTTATTCATGTTTTCTGCATATTAAAAAATCCTATTGTACCAATTGGTAAACTATTAAATGCCTATAAAACTAGATGTGATTTTGTGTGTGTGTGTGTGTGTGTGTGCGTGTGTGTCCTTGTGCAGAGATTTAAAACCGAGTCCTAATAGGAGATGGGACTGTGTTCAACACCAGCCATAGAGTAAGCTGCAGATTGGTGGCAGGGCCTTGATGGAGGGCTTTTCTCGAGGGCCGTGCTGGCACTGCCTTCACCGTCCCCTTCCTTCGCCTTACTAGGGGGTCAGGCTCCAGGAGCGATGGCTGCAGGGGCCATTGGCGATGGTGGTAGGTGGGCTTGCACCACCCCCGCCTCCAGCAGCCTTTTCCAACAGTGACTCATCGGCCCAAGCACTGGAGAGCTGAGGCCAGGAATGACCTATTGTAAACACTCCCCCCCCCCACACACACACCCCAACAAAGACTTGGCCCTCTTGTGGTCGTCAGGGTCCAGACAGAAGGATCGTGCTCCCCTTTTGTTCTATTAATGAATGAGCCTCTTGTTTTGTCCAGTGGTCTTGGATTCTTGAAGATTCTTAATACTGTTTTAAATTTTGGTCGAAAAGTACCAAAATCGCCTTCACTCTTGGCCCAGAAGCCCCATGGCTTTCCCTCTGCTTTACACGTGTTGGCTATGTCCTGCCTCCCATGCCTACTACTGCCCAGCTGGGGCCTGTGGTGTCCAGGGCAGCCAGGAATTCTCCAGCTTTTCTGATGTATAAAGGACAAGTTGGATGATGCAGTGTCTCTTTACTTACAGCCCAGTTGTTTTCTTGCCTCCCCATCCCAAAATGGGAATCCTCAAGAGCACCAAAGTAATTTACTTGAAATTCGAGTCTTCTGAGTTTTGCAGCTTTTCCATTTCCCTGCAGGGCTCCTCTTTTCCCCTAGCTTGAGATGCCGATGATGAGTCTGACCACTTTCCCTGGGGTAGAGAGTTCCAGCTTTGGTATATCGCCATCCTGAAATGCAGTTACTCAAAACTCACCCACTGGTTTATCACTTCAAGCTTCTTTCCAACGCTCATTGGGTATGTCCCTGACATAGGATGAGGGATAGGAAAGTGGAAGAATTGGTGGGGAAATGGTACAGCATCCTAAATGTGGCAGCTCTGTCCCTGTTTGGGCTTTGGTGAAACTTGACTTGCATGCAGTTTTTGGATGCTGAGAGACCTACCAGAATTCTCTGATTCTCACGATGTTCCCCAGCAGGCCAGCGGCAGCAGCACTTGGGAACTCATTAGAAATGCAAGCTCTTGAGCTCCAGCTCAGACCTACTGTATCTGAAACCTCTATATGAAAAACCAATTTTAACAAGCCATCCAGATGATTCTGATGTAGGCTCAAGCTTGAAAACCACTGATTCTGATTAATTAACTAGCTTCTCATTGATTAGAATCAGTGGTTGATCTCGGGGTTGTGTGTTCGAGCCCCACGTTGGGTGTAGCTTTTTTTTTTTAATTTTATTATGTTAGTCACCATACAATATATCATTAGTTTTGATGTAGTGTTCCACGATCCATTGTTTTCGTATAACACCTAGTGCTCCATGCAATACGTACCCTTCCTTAATATCCATCAGCGGGCTAAACAATCCCCCCACCCCCCTCCCCTCTAAAACCCTTTTGTTTCTCAGAGTCCATAGTCTCTCATGGTTCAATAAAATTCTTTAAAATAAAAGTGGAGGTGGGGGGATTAGGGAAGGGAAAATACCTAACACTTTGAATGCTTGTTAGGTGCCAACATCCTTATTCTCACATACACTCCCTGCTGGTGGGCATTAGTACATTTTGATGGACAAGAACACAGGCTCACTTTAAGTCTTATGCCAAAGGTATGAAGCCTCGCTAAGACGGTGAGCTGGGACTCAAACCCAAATGCACATGCTCTTTCCCTTATCTGGTTCTGCCTATGTTAAGCATCTTGTTAGCTATCTAAAGTGTAAGGAGGACCTTCTGACCTCTTCCAGTTTTTTAACCTTTAGCAAAGCAGGAATGACCCTCCTCCCATCCCTGAGGCCATCACACCACACCACACTGCAAACTCCCTGGGAGATGACCACGGGGAACAGGGCGGAGTCTAGGAATGGGTCAGCAAGGATTATGTTGCCTACACTTGGAACTCCTAAATCATTCTGAAATGACCTTGTTCTCAGGATAATTGGGTCCTGCATGGTCTGCATCTCAGTGTTTGACTTTTTTTTTAATCAATGGATTTGCCTGTCGAATGGGAGTATTTCAGTCTGCATTTGAGCAGGGCCACCTGTCCTCCATAGGCGTCCTGATATGCATGCCTTGTCAGATTTGATTTTAAGATTTTATGTATTTGGGGGCGCCTGGGTGGCTCAGTCGGTTAGGCGTCTGCCTTCGGCTCAGGTCATGATCCCAGGGTTCTGGGATCGAGCCCCACGTTGGGCGCCCTGCTCCACCGCGGGGAGCCTGCTTCTCCCTCTCCCTCTGCTTGCTGCTCCCCCTGCTTGTGCTGTCAAATAAATAAAATCTTAAAAAAAAAAATTTTTTTTATGTATTTGAGAGTGAGTGAGCAGGAGCAGGTGGGAGGGGTGGAGGGAGAAGGACAAGCAGACTCCCCGCTGAGCAGGGAGCTCCATATGGGGCTCGATCCCAGAACCCTGGGACCATGACCTGAGCCGAAGGCAGATTCAGATCAACCGACTGAGCCACCAGGGCGCCCCTGGATTGGATAGCTTGGATTCTGGCAGTAGGAATGTGGACCACAGCAGGCTACCTGGTTCTCTGCCTCAGGGTACACAGGGTCCTCAGTGTGGTCCAACAGTCCTCTCAATACCCATTTCACGCGACGCCTGGGTGGCTCAGTTGTTAAAGCATCTGCCTTTGGCTCAGGTCATAATCCTGGGGTCTTGAGATCGAACCCTGTGTTGGGCTCCCTGCCCAGCGGGAAGTCTACTCCTCCCTCTCCCTCTGCTGCTCCCCCTGCCTGTGCGCTTTCTTCTCTGTCAAATGAATAAATAAAATCTTTAAAAAAATACCCATTTCACAATGGCAGTTTGAAGGGCAGGAGTGGAGACAGATGATACAGTCCCCCCCCCCCGCCCCACCCTGAGATGATACAATCTTAAAAGCTTAATTTGGTTATACTAGCTTTTCAAAAAGATCCTTAAGTATAAAAGTGACATGCATGTTAAATCCATCGGGCTCCCTGCTCAGTGGGAAGCCTGCTTCTCCCTCCCCTGCTTGTGCTGACAAATGAGTAAGTAAATCTTTAAAAAAGAAGAAAAAAAACTTCAAGGTCAAGAACATTTTCTTTCCAGTCGGCTCAAGAAAGTAACCAATACTCGGGCTGGAGTATCTTTTTCAGAGAATTTGTTGACACACACAAAAAACCCCTCCAAGACTCGAGATGGTATTGCCGTGGGCACGCTGCTGAGGCCCACCTGCTCAAGATAGCCGAGTAAGCAGCGGCCAGTTAGGAGACTTCCCCTCCTCTTGGAGACAGGCCCTGCCCCTCACGCTCACCGGCTACCCCTGCCCCCATCTCACTGCATCTCCACAACAGCCTGGCTCGCCCAGAATTTACCCTAGGACAGCAAACTTGACAGCGCCCCATTCCCGCACTCCTAGCCTTCTGGAGGCCGCCGCCCAGTTCTCCTGACTCAAAGGGACAAGGGCAGCCCCAAATCAGGTGTTGGGCAACCTATCAGGGCCAGCAAGCCCAGGGCCCAGGCCCCCAGCCTACAGCACCCCCCCATTCCAACTGGCCTTCACGCAACCCTGTACCACACAAATCTCTATGGAGGAGTGACTCAGCCTCCTCTTCTGTGACCGACGGGTGACACTCACCTGCTGTGTCGGCAGTCAGGGAAACCCTAGCTGGGTGCCTGGGACTCTACCCCCCTTAAAGGACCTTTTAAGGATAACCTTCAATATGACCTGATTTATACACATTCCTGGGCTTTAAACTCCTGCAACAGTAATACTTCTGGCAACAGCCCTCCCCGTGGCACGAGCCTGGACAGAACACACAGGAGAGGCTGGGGCAGCAGGTTTCAAAAACTCACTTTATTCCAATGTGAAATGAAGACGTGATGGTTTAAAAACAAGAAAAAGTTCTTGATCAGCGGTGGGGAGGCTTCGCTTGCTAGCTCACACCCACTGCCTTTGAAACAAGGGAAGTGGACAGACCATACCCAGAAGCAGCTCCCCGCAAAGCCCCAGGCAGAGGCCCCAGCCTGGGAACAGGTCCCTCCAGCCCACCGGGTGGGGCGCTCCCCCCGCCCCGCCCCCGCCCCATCAGGGCTCTGACAGCAGGCACAGAGGAAGCGGGAGAGGGAGTAGCTGGGGCTCACGGGAGCCACCGCCTTTCGCGGACACCCCCACCCCGCCCCAGAGCTCCTCTCCGTAGGAGGTGCTTGTGTGACAAGGACCACGTAGGGAGCTGGGCTCCACCACCAAGTGGCCATCACTCCTGTATCTAGTCAATTCCCCACCAGGGTCCAGGACTCAGCCCTGGTTCCCCCAGTCCCTTGGCCTACCCCAGCCCCACTGTGCCCACTGTGCGTCCGGCAGCTCAGGTTACAAGGGGGAGGATACGTTCAGACCGTAGCCCCCAGGGTGGGCCCCAGCTGGGAGGCAGGGGGACAGGGAGGCCGCCCCTCCTGTCGGGGCCCCGGGGCAGACAAGCCAGGGCTGCGGACAGGTGTGTGTCTGGGCAGCCGCCGCCGCGAGCGCAGCAAGGCCCGGTCACAGTCACCACCTTGCCGCGGAGCTGAAGTGCACCCCCACCCTCCAGCCCTGCCGCAGAGCTCCGGCTCCCCACCCTAGGACACAGGAAAGCTCCCCTTTTTGGCGTCAAACCTGGACTCGAGGCCAAGCTGGGCCGAGGGGCAGCGGCGGCACACGCAGCAGCCATGACGTCAAACATACGAGCGACCTGAGAAATGTCATCTTCACGCCATCCACTCGGAACCAAAGTGGGGCTATGTACAGACTAGGAAGGACGGACCGACACACTCACGGGCACGGACACACTCGCACACACCTGCTGGGGGGGCCCCAGGGGGCACCGGCCCCCCAGCTGGGAACGGATGCCCACACACTCCATCCACGTGTCTTCAATGAGGCCTCTGCATCGTATATTCACTGAACCAGTGCAAAAACGTCTTTGGGGAGGGGGCAGGCAGGCCAGGGTCCCAGGAGGATGCTTGGGGGTAGGGCTGGGGTTGGAAACATGGAAGAAGAGGGACCTGTTTCCTCTCCCGATCTGCAGGGCATGCCCCCCTTCTCCTGGAGTCTGGATCACTGGGTAACGGGGCAGCCGGCTGACTGTCCATCTGTCTCTCCCTTTCTACCCCTGCAAGCTCGGGGAAGAAGGGTCCTTGGCGGCCCGGGGCTGGGAGGCTGAGTCCTCTGGGGCCCCTGCTGGCTCAGGCTCGGTGGCCATGGGTTCCTCAGCCTTCTCCCTGTTTCTGTTGGCCTCCTGGAGCTGTTGCCGCCGCGCCACCTCGGCTTTCAGATTCTCCAAGTCTTTTTGGCTGAGTAAAAGGACAGGGGCGAAGGGCAGGTGTCAGAGCAAGCCTGGGCCCTCCGTCACCTTACTGGCCCTGGTTACACCTACACCCAGGGCAAAACCAGGCTTGTTCTTTGTCTGGAGAGACACGCGTGGAACAAGTGCTTCCCTCCCCAGAGCCAGAGGCTTCTAAGCACTCAAAGTACGAGCTCTGCGCACGTGGCACGGCCTCCCATTAAGGCCTGGCTCCGCTCAGCCTCCACATCCAGCTCACACTCACAGCAAGTGCGGGCGGGGCAAGCGCACGAACCCCAGCGCCCACGCCGAGCCCCCCAGCGCGTCCCCCAGCGCATCCCCCAGCGGCGGCAGGGAGGCGGGGCCCAGCCGGGGCGGGGGGTGGGGGGCGAGGCCCGCGTGGGGGCAGGAGGCCCGAGGAAAAAGGCGGCTGCTCTCAAGGACAGGGAAAGACCGCCGGGGCCCAGCAAGCGTGGGGAAGATGCAGCCCCGGCCTTGCTCTGCCACAATCGTGTGCAAATAAAAAGGGAAAAAAGGACAAAAAAACAAAACAAGATTACAGACGTGCATCTGCTCAACTACGCAGACTACTTCCTGGACGATGCACAGGGCACTTCTTACCACCGGCTGTACTTGTCAATTCCGAGCCACGACAGTGAGTTATTTATTTTGAAAAGCAAAACACTAAAGCCAACTTCCACGCGGGTGCGCAGCGCACTCGGAGGGGGCCTCACCTGAGAGGAATGAAGAGGATGCCGTTGATGACGTTGAGCTGTTCCAGGACGCTGGCCATGCTGGGGGCTGTGAGCTGAGGGGCGGCAGGGCAGGTGAGCCTCGAGCGGCGCCGGGAGGCCAGGCCACGGGCGCCCGCGGGGGGGGATGGGGTGGGGGACACACACCCACCTTGAGGGGCGGGATGTTGGCGCTGGAGCCGTTGCGGTAGATCTCGTTCATGGTGCGCTGCAGGGCCACGGCCTGCTGGGTCAGGCACTTGAGGTACTCGGAGCTCTCCTTGGTCTTCTCATGGTCCTCGCCCAGCTGGGGGCGGGGGCACAGGCAGGAAGGGATCAGCGATGCCGCAGCCCACGGGCCCAGTGCCACCTCCCCAGCCCCTGCCGCGGCCCACCTGGGTCTTATAGAT